TGTATTTTTAAAATGTGAACTAAACTGACAAGACCTATATTCTGAACTGTTATACCATGGACCTGGGTCCACATTGCAAAGTGAATCATGTCTAAAAACGCAATTTACATATTGAATGTTCACAATTTACATACTAAATGTTTACAATTTGAATTATGAACATTTAGTATGTAAATTATGATAATTCAATATGTAAATTATGTATGTTTAGTCCCGGGTCCACAAAAATAATTTGCCCTATATTCATGGACGGAGCCAAAGGGGGGCAGGGGGTGGGGGCAATTGCACTCCCTCACCCCACCCCCACCTCATATGTAATAGTTGTATGTATATATGTATATAGTACAACTTTTAGTATTAGTATAAAAAAACAGATAAATGTTACCAAGAAATGAGATAGATTAGTTGGTAAAGCATATGTTTGGTTATAGTAAAGGTCTAAAGTTTAAATCTTTCTTTGACATTATCACAATTTTACAATTTCTCTTGGCTTCAACACAATCACATTATTAATATCTTTTTTAATATTTAATAAAAATACGCGCACACACATATATAACATTCTTTTATATTAAAAATGAGATATGTAATTTATAATGTGTTTTCTATTCAACTTATTTTATCAAATTAATTATGTTTCATATTTTGTTATAAATATTTTTAATAAAATTTCTATGTATTTTATTTTTCGCCCATATCCAATAATATTTATACTTATATTTTTTTGGGTAATTTATTTATTTTTTTAAAAAACTTATCTATTTTGTTTTAATGTTTCGCCTTCACTCAAAAAAATTGATGGATCCGTTGCTGTTTCTTCACCCCTCGCAACAAAATTTCTGGCTCCGTCCCTGCCTATATTCTAATGTGAGCTTGTACAGCACGACCCACATTAGTGGGCAAATTATATCGTGCGCCCTGGCCAAAACGACATTGTTTTATACTCCATATTTGTTTTTCTTTTTAAGAAATTCCGTTTCCCGTTTCTACCGTTAACTTAAAAAAAAAAAAAATTCATGTTTCGAATGTACATAATTGTATAGTAGAATACACATAAACTCATAACATAATACATACAATCTAACATAATACATAAAATACACATAAATTCTTAACCGAATAACTCTTAACAAAATATACATAAACTCTTAACATAATACAATAAAATCTTAACATAAAAAACGACGTCGTTTTAAGCAGAGCGCACAATACATTGTGCGCCCTGTGCACGTACGATATAACGATTGACATTAGTGTTGGTCCATGTGGACCTGGATCCAATATAATTGACATAGCACGGCCTACTTATATCAATACTATGCATGTGGTCTTCACTATTCTATTTTTTTTCTTCATAATTGTATGTTGGTAGTATAATGACTATTTTCTCTTCTTTAAATTATATTCTTGCAGGAGCAAGAGGACACAGATAGGCGATTATAAAATTATGAGTTACAAAATATATTTGTTGTATATTTTAAAAATGTTTTAAATAGTATAACAAAAATTTTAAAACCCATGAGAGAGTGATTTGTCATTCTTGAGGAACTATATTTTAATTGAGTTTCATAGTTTATAATGCATTTTTCGTTTAATTAAATAATGGTGTGCTTATGAATGTTATTAATTTGAAATACAAACTTTCTTCTTTTTAAAAATATATATATTGAACTTATTTGTTGTATCTTGTGATATTTTATCCAGAGAAAAGAGTCAAATAAGCCTTCGAACTTTACATAAAAGTTAATTAGGCCTTTAAACTTTTTGAAGTAGCAATTAATCTCATCAACATTGTATTTTGGTGCAATAATAAAGTTCAAAAACCAGTTAGTGACCTACTATCACAGGTCACTAGGGTTTCGGACAACATTCCGACCAACTCCGGCGATATTTTCGATAATAAAGTGATCGACAACCGGTGAATCAATGGAGGAGAAGGAAACTCGTGATGTGAAATAATCCTAAATCGTTTAAATCGGTCGCAAACCCAAAAGAATGTATTATAAAAATCAAAATCAACTACTCTAATATTGATAATTTGTGAGTTGTGACTTTGTGGAGTTGTGTTTTGATTCTTTAAATCTTTATACAATATACAATTCTAATCTTTTTTTTAGGTTAATACTTAATATTTTAGTATTAACTATTAACGTAATAAATATTTTATAATTATCAAGTCTGTAAAAAAAATTAATTAAAAAAATCGGGCGCCCGATTATGATGATGATGATGATGGGTGGAAACCCATTTTCCATACAAAAATCGATGACATCAAATAAGACGGACACCATGGTGGTAGCTAGAGCTATCAATACGGGCCATTTGGCGGGCCTGGATTTTACTGGCCCACCCCGCCCCGTTCCTTGCTCGTGGGCTAGGCAGGCCCTAATCACTTTTTTTTTCTTTTTCTTTTTTTTTGTTCTTAACCCTTAAGTTGTTAGTTTGATACTTTGTTATGTTTTACCCTTTGTATATTCTAAAAATAATTAAAATAAATTCTTACATACTTCACATAAGACATATATAGTTCATCAAACCGTGGGTGGAAAACCGTGATGCGTTTCAATGTTGGGATGTTAGAATCGCGACTACTTGACTTCTCGTTGGCGTCGTTGGAGGTCATTCGGCGTGGACACTTGAACTTCTACAGTTACCTAATTAACATGCCAAAGTACAGATTAGATATGCATGCTACATTGCATATATACTTATTTCGATCTGTGCAATATATCCTCTAACATAAAATAGAAGTAATAAATGATCAATTGACAAAAATTCCCACCTAAATAAAACGGCGTTAGGAATTGGTATTCCACTTTAATAATCCGATTTTTTCAAACATTGGGTTTATAAAAATATTAATTTCACCGTCCAAATAATTACGGGAATCCAGAATGTGTAGGTTTATTTATAGCAGTGTAAATGTAAATACAAAAGGTTACAAGTACAATTAATATTTACAGATAGCAATGCAACTATTCCATTTCACGAGACGATGAGACGATTCAAATCTTCAGGGAAGCGTATCCAGAAGCAACTCTTCAGTTGCTACCCAATAAAGTCTATTCCATTATGGGGCTCTTAATTTTGGGACGTGATTTGTCAACCTTCAAAACAAGAAGAGCAATGAAGGTAAGGGTGATACATACATATGTGGTGATGGAAAGGAAAGGGTCATCTGAGATCAAGTCATTGCTTCACAACCATGAGAAGCAAGGTGATATCTCTACATTGAATACAAGAAGAGCAATATGGTAAGTGAAATCGTGGAACGAATAGTGGGGGAACCAACAAATGTAAAGAAGTATTCTTCTATTATCAAGAGGTATGTTGTTTTCAATGTTTTTCATGTTTTTGAGAATCCAGAATGCAGAATGCATTCTGGGATGAGGCTGGGAATGCAGAATGCATTCTTGGATGAGGCTGGGAAAGTCAAAAGGTTAAGGCAGGACACAACCATGAAGAAGTTTAATGGATCAGTTACCATAGGTTGCACGAGGAAGCATATTGATGCAAATAAAGGTAGAGTTTAGAGGATACCATATTCAATAGATTCAAATGTACAACTTTTGACTTGCTTCCTGCATGAGAATCAAACTAGAAGTAAATGATGATGTCATCAGCATATTGTTGGAAAGAGAAAATGGCCAAACAGATACTAAGACCTTCATAGTTTCAGTGATAATGGACATTGTATAGTTTGTTTGAAGGCTTTCTACTGAAGGCAGTCTTTCATCCTTGACATGATGGGCTCTAATTGTGTCAATTCTTCAAAATGTATCAATCCTAAATGCAATAATAAAATAATTCATTGCTATTGGAAGAAAGAAATTATAGTATTATGGCAAAGAAATTATTGCAAAATAGACTAGAAGTGAAAGGGAATTTACCTATTTTTTCTTTTGGTTTGGTTTTCTATTCCCAGAATGTTTTATCCCTTCTGGTATATTATTCCTATTCACTGAAAATCTTCATGAAAGTCTGCATCATCCTGCACACTTGGTCATTATCTGTCAACAAACATGGAAAAAGTTTAGCATACATTATTCAAATTTGTTTCCAATTCAAGGTTAACTAGCGCACCAGAGGGAACCATAATGCTTTTCTGTCCCTGCCTCAAATCCTAGGGCAAAAGCAATGAGTAAAACCTGAAAAAGATACTATTTGAGAACAATTAGCAAACCAAGCAGTGAAATATAAGTGTGTATAATTCAAAGCTCAATAATCTAAACACAAGTTGATTTCTCTTTACTTTTTGGAAGAAAAATCGTTACTTTTGCAAAACATGACACATAAGTGCATTAGACATACAAGTTGATTCATTATGTGAGAACAAGAGCAGGTTATAAAATTACCTCATTCTCTGTCCGTTTGGAAGCAAAAATGGTTACTTTAAAAATTAGGGTATAATTGTTTGTATATCTAGAAATGAGCTTTACTGCACAATTCAAGCTAGAAATTGAATGACATTCTTAGACAGTTAACAAATACTGATTAAAACAGGTAACAAATACCGATTAAGATACACCTCAGTATGAAATTCTTAGACAAAGTCTAATGGATGTGCTTTCAAATTAACTATTTAGGGGGATATATACTTTGTATCGGATTTATGCAAGATTTAACCTAGAAATTTAAGGGAAATGCTACGATCTGCAAATCTCAGATGGGTATTGAAAAAATTGCATGAGACTAACCCATAAGACCATACGTTCTTGCGATTCATGAGAATAATCGTTGAGACTTGAGAGTCGAACAGGCAAAATGGAAAGCGCAGAGGCGAAGATTCTCGAGTGAAGCTTCTGGAAATGGATCGATGGATTGAAGAGCCAGATATGGCAAAGGGATGAACGGCATACTTATATTATTATGACGTCATCGTCGCCGGAGTCTTCGATGCCTCCGCATCCGCCGCCGCTGTAGAAGTCGTCGTCTTTGTAGGAGTCTCAGCCATTATCTTCAACAGAAATATAAAAAGCGGTAGAAATGACTCATCTTTTGGGAAAGAAGCTTTTGTTTATTCACTCCCCATTTTATATTGGTGGAACACAATACAAAGGAAAAATCTTACACCACATAAAAGGGGAAATTATATAAACCACTTTCTATTTTCAGTGAATTTTTATTAGTAATAATATTTATTAGTAAGAGTATTGTTTTGGATTTTTATAATACATGTAATTTTGATTTCTATTGTTTGATCGTCTTCGAGCGAAAATAACGTGGATATAGTCTATTTGTCGAATATTGTGTGTACTATAAAATATTTAATAATTTGCAATTTTCAATCAATGATTAATAAATTCTGTCATGCATTAATTCTTATAATAAAGTGTGTTACCGTGAATTTCGAAAACAACTAATTCATTTATTATCTTAAATAAAAACTTTTTATAACTTTTTAATTACCTTTAAAAATCAATATCTTTACGGAAAATTTATTGTCTATGTTAATTTTTAAATAACTTTACTTTACACTGTATAAGTCTTCGCACGGGTAAAATACTATTATAATTAAGAGTGGATGATTTATCAAAGTTGCAAATAATAAATGTGTTTTAATAGACTGGAGATTGAGCATTTGAACAACGTTGGGAAGTTCAGAGCAGTTAAGGAGGTTCCATTGCCATTTTATGAGACATGATACTCCCATCTACAGCTCATGATATATTGTCTGAAATCAAAAGCTAGCTAGTAAACAGTGCCTTGCACAAAATGTTGGATTTTGGTTTCAAAATATATAATTTTTTGAGTGAATTCCATTTTTGGTCCTATTGTTATAGGGGTCATTCCAATTTTAGTCCACCATAATTATTTTTGTCATATTGCGTCCACTATTATTAAAAGTGTTCCAATTTTAGTCCACGAAAATTTTTAAAGTGAACTAAAATTGGAACACTTTTAATAATAGTGGACGCAATGTGGCAAAAATAATTATGATGGACTAAAATTGGAATGACCCCTATAACAATAGGACCAAAAATGGAATTAACTCTAATTTTTTTTAATAAATGTAACTTAGTTAATGGCTAGTAGTGCATTATTTCATGTAATTGAATAGGGCACTACCATGTAATCTACATGAGAATGATGAATTAGACACTTATTTCATATCCAATAATACATACATATATATATATATATATATATATATATGTTATACATGCATTCTTGGTATAAATTAATCCTATGACCCCAACGTAACATACAATAACCATGCATGTATTGTTGCATAGGCCAGACAACCAAATACCCATAGGTGTTGTCGTGTTGATACTGAGGTACCTTAGCTTGCCAAATAGAGCTTGATATGAAATTTTATTTTGTTGGGTTACTGAGGGCAATCTGTTGAAGACATAAACAATATGTGAGATACAATCACCCAAAAAGGATTCTAGTAAATTGAATTGGCTTGAAACTTTAGAGCTTGGGTTACTAATAATATATGTCCATGCTTTGATCACAAAGGAATTTCAATAGTAAACTTGTTCACTCAACAATTTACAAGTGCTTTGATCACAAAGTCAATACTATTTGCTTAGTTTCCACAATTAATGCTTTCGAAGCTTGCTACTCTTCCACTATCTATAAGAACGGTACAGATCAATAAACTTCAATACAAATGTTGAAAGAATTCCCCAATTAGTTGAGACTTTAATTTAAAAATCTAGATTATTTTTAGAGCTCTTTGAGTCTTTTAGATGACTGGATGATAATACTTGAGTGTCTTTTTTGAAAGCTTGCAAGTATGGTTGATATAATTTCTTATGTCTCTTATTGTTCCCTCTTGAAATTTCTTCATATTTATAGCTAAATTATAATTATTGTAATTGATAAATGTCCAATAATAATTAATAAATCACTAAATATAGTAATGTGAATAAATCTTTTAATTTAATTCTCTTCTCCTAAAAGGTTGAATTCTCAATCTCATACCCAACAAATCTGTCCACTTTAAACATAATATCCACAGTCCTACTGTACTGTCGAGATTCGAACCTTAGTCTATTATCTCCTGCTGTACTGTCGAGATTCGAACCTTCGTCTCTTATATCCTAATACTACATACCTACTGAACCACTGAGCTAAACTCAAGCGGGCATCTTCATTTAACTTTCACTTGTATATTGGGTGGGAGTTGAACCTATATTGGGGGTTGGGGCCTCCCTTTTGCAAGCACTTAATTACCTACATTCAATTGAATTATTTGAGTTTAAGTTTTATTAATGAATTAATTCTATTTTGGGAAAATAACATTTTTCTCCCTGAATTATATACTTATAGCACTTTTTTTTTCTGAATTATTTAAGTGGTCGTTTTTCCCCTTGATATGTTAAATGGACATATTTATCCTTAAAATAAATATTTTATTTATTTTTCTTCTCCAACAAATTATGGTCACGATTTGGTTCAAACCGAACTGACACTATAGCAACCAAATCGAAAGGTTCCGATTACAATTTAGAACCAAAACCTGAGTGTATTAAAATAGCGAACCGGTACGGCCAGTTCATGTTTCGAACTAAAAAATAAAATACATTATTTGTTGATTTAGACTATTTTAAAAATTAAAATAAAACTTTAAAAGAAAGTTTGAACCAGCAATTCAAACTGGATCCAAAACCATTAACTGGTGGTTCAAAATCAAAACCAAATCACGATCATATATACGTATATATGAGAACCAGAATAAATGCGAAAAAGAACATACACTATTTGCAAATATTGTAATTCTAATTTTAAGCTAATGCTAGTGGTTGTTCTGATTCGAACCGCAAGTTCAAGGTTCATGATCTAATTTTTTAGGTTCATGATTTTAATAAACTGAAATTCAACTATATATTGGGTTTTGGTTCTGAATCATAACCGGAAACTTTCGATTCGATTGCTATAGTGTCTGGTTCAGTTCAAGCTGAACCATGGTCATCCCTACGTATAAACAATAATTTGTTAGAGAAGAAAAATAAATAAAATGTTTATTTTAAGGGTAGAAATGTCTATATAATATATCAGGGGGAAGAACCACCACTTTTAAAATAATTGAGGAGGCAAATGTGGATACATGAATAACTCAGCGGGAAAAGTGCTATAAACCTATAATTCAGGGGGGAAAAGTGTAATTTTCCCTTCTATTTTTGGTCCTAGATTTATAGGTGATAATTCACTTTTAATTCTTTTTTTTTTTTTTCAAAACATCCTCATTTGATCCTAGTATTATTGTGGCATGACCATTTTTGGTCCTTCATTAACAAAATTGTTTAAATTTCGTAAAATCCAAAGGTATTTAGTTCTACAATTATGAATTTTTAAAAAAAAAATAAAAATAAAAATAAAAATAATAGTGGGTCAACCCACTTTGTATAAAAAGATCAAAATGTTCATGTATTTAACGATATTTCAACGATTTTGTTAACAAATGACCAAAAATGGTCATACCACAATAATACTATATCCAAAAGGGAATGTTATGAAAAAGAATGACTAAAAGTGGACTGCCACCTATAAATCTATGACTAAAAATGGAATTAACTATTTATTTATTAATTAATATGCAATTGCAACTAAAGAGTATAGGTCAAAATTTTATCCTTATAACTATTGGTCAAGATAAGTTTGAAAAATCCCTATATATCACATACTCAATTTGTTAAGTGTAATTACTTTTTAACAAACTAAAAGTTATAACTATACCCTGTTTGGTAAATGATTGTTAGCTGATAGCTGTTAGCTGATGGAGTTAGAGGGTATGACTAGTTGATAACATTGATGAAGCAACACTGTTTTGGTTGAATATTTTCTGTGTATTATTAACGAAAGCAACCACCAAATATATATACAGAGAGAACCCAAACTATAGAAAATTAACCTAAATAACAGGAAACTAAAAGCTGGATCAACTCTAACAACCTGGACTATTCTAACTGCTTGACACACCCCCGCAAGCTGACTGTGGACACGGGACAATGCCAAGCTTGACTCTGAGATCACCAAACCGAGCAGTTGACAAAGCATTGGTGAAGATGCCCACCAACTGATTATGAGTAGAGACGAAATTGACCCTAAGATCCCCGGAAGTGACTTTGTCACGGACAAAGTGATAGTCGACTTCAACATGCTTCGTCCTGGCGTGAAATACTGGATTGGAGCATAGATATGTGGCCCCGAGGTTGTCACACCAAAGAACCGGAACGACAGGGCGGGAAAGACCAAGGTCCGGAAGAAGAGACTGGACCCAAACCACTTCAGCAGCTACGTCGGCAAGACCCTTATATTCAGCTTCAGTCGAGGATCGGGCTACCGTTTGTTGCTTCTTCGAGGTCCAAGATATTAAATTTGGGCCAAGAAAGACCGCATAACCAGCTGTAGACTTTCTGTCAATCGAGCACCCAGCCCAGTCAAAGTCGGAAAATGCATGCAATGTCGGGGATGATTCTGAAGCTGTAAGTCGCAGACCTAAAGATATCGTGCCTTTGATATACTACAGCACACGTTTGAGTGTCGCCCAGTGTTCTTCTGTTGGACTGTGCATGAATTGATATAACATGTTCACAGAAAATGCGAAATTCAGGCGAGTCAGTGGCAGGGTTGTCGAAGCCCTACAAATTTAATACTGGCTCACTCTACTAATTTATAGTAGTGGCAAGACCAGGTCGAATCCTTAGAGAACTAATGAGTTTCGTTTCTTTAATTAAAATAAAATGACTCAAAGTAGGGAAAATTGGGGCATTTGAGAAGAACTAAGCCTAAATAACAGATTGAGATAGCTACAACCTGCAACTTAGTCTTCCTGTCCTTTGTGTACTAATCACAGTAATATAATTAATACAAGCTACTCGGTCAAATCGTTTATGACAATTATGGATCATAAACTCATAGATAGCAATAGGATAAACAATAATAAACTAAGTTGTCAATTTAATTTATTATCAGTCTTCCTGAAAAATTAACTCTGAAAGAGCAGGAAGTACATGAATCCAACAAATTAATTGAACTAGAACCT